TCCAAAAATCTGTTGAGCTTGTCATGCTTGGCAGTTTCTTGCTGTCTACGCACTGGACGCACACGAGATTCTTGATACGCATCTACTGGCATTGGTTCTGGCTTGTTGAGCACAACGTGTTCAGTCGTCGTGAGATACTTCTTGAATCAAAGCAATTACTTGAGTAAACTTATCACAATTCACAATTCTAAACGTCTTGCCATAAAACGTGATGTTGATGCCGAGATTGAAATCCTTGGCCTGGTAATACTCGTTGGAGCTTTTTGGCAGCTTCTGGCGCTTGATGAACACACCCTGTGGAATGCCACTGTTCTCTACTGGTGGCTCAACAACCGCAATGGAGTCGTCCTCGAGGAAGAAGAGGATTCTGACGCGACGGAGATGATACTGCTCGGTCGAATCGTGAACAGTTTCCTTAAAGTAGGCATCAAACGTAAGCACGACTTTGTCAAAGGCAACATGAGCAGGCACGAATCGAGAGTCGGACTTTTTCTTAAAGTACTGCTTCTCGCCGTAGATCAGTTTTGGGTTTGCCTTGACCCTTTCCAGGAGCTCCTGTGGAGAGGGAGAGGCATCGATGCTCAATTTCTCCAAACCAATGCCGAGCTTTGGTGAGGGTTGGATAGGATAGCCATTGAGATAGCCCAAGGAGTGAGGCTTGCGAAAGTCCTTTTGCTACGATGAAACAAGATACATTTACATTTGGAAAGACATGGCCTGGCAGAAATGGCAGATTCGCTGCTGTAGGTGTCATTAGGGAAAGCTTCCTGACGTCACCGCGCTTCTTTACGATGAATTTCAACGAAGAACCAGTCTATTACTACGAATACTACTACCCATACGTATACCCAGTGTATCATGACTTTGAATACTACCCCCAGTTCGACAATACACAACGGTACAGGAAAAAGAGGAATTACAACCGATCCTACGGTTTCCAGACTTACACAAGCAAAAAAGACTGATGAGTCTGATACCTACTCTGTTGCGGATTCAGTTGACACTGGAGTTTCAATGGAAGTGAATTCGATCGTTGAATCGCTGTTCACGCAGTCATCGCACGGGAGCGGTGTCATGGATCAATCAGAAGAGAGGCGTCTACAGCAACGGCAGAAGCAGATTGACTATGGTAAGAACACAAAAGGATACGAAAATTACATTCGCACGATACCCAAGTACATTCACTCATGACAGGGCATCCAGGGGACCAGAGGATCCAGAGACACCAGACAAACACAGTAATTGTTCGAAGCGCGCTTGGGATGGACTTGTCCGAAGTTGGAGACGAAAGCTACATAGATACGATCCCCAGGAATAAATGTTTACTGGAACAACTGCTGGCCTGCAGACAGTGGTGAGAGCTGGTTACCCGTAATCCCTGGCACTGCTTGGCTTTCAAACATGACCGTGCCAAACTGACTGACCATGGCTTGGATACCAGAGTTGAACGCTTGTCCATCGAATGCACAATGTCCGCCTTGCGGAGTACCATCGACAGTGAATTGCTTGTCCAATTCTTGTTGTGAGAGACCCAGTTGAGAGGCAGCATCCTGTACAGAAGCAATCGCTTGTGGAATGAGTGTCTTGAGACTGTCAAGTTCGCTTTGCGTCGTTTGAAAGTGGATTCTCGTGTTCTTGGACAATGCCCCTGCTGGCAATCCACCTGCAGGCGGGAGACCACCACACAGGATGAGCATACCAGATGGAAACTCGTTACCAAACAATGGCAGCATGGCAGATGTCAGTGTCAAAGCACCACCGGAAACACCAGTAAAAAAGACTTTGGATGGATCAAACTGTGCCATCTGAGGCAGCACATTCTTGATCAGACCGGCAACGAGTGTGGCATGTTGAGGACCATCTGTGCGTTGCAAATCAGTGCCTCCCCACCGCATTTGTGCATTTGGTGCCAAGACAGCGACACCAATCAAGTTGTTTTCAAACTGAGCGTTTGGGAATTCAAAAAAGGACTGTCCGCCATCACCATGCAACAGCACATTGATGCCAGGGAGTTGGTTTGGATCTGGATTTGTTGGAACAGCGATTCTGAATTGAAGCGATGTGGGATCGTTGGCTACTGGTTTTACAATATCTTCCTTTACAGTGACAGTGTTGCCTACTTTGGCTTGGATTTGTGCTGGTGTCTTGCCGTTTGAGCGGATTTTGTTCAGATCCACTTGTTTCTTGGCTTTTCCTTTGGCTTTCTTGGCTGGGAGAGCAAGAGCGGTGACAAACAGCAAGGACAAGAGATGCATAGTGAGGGAATATTCGTCAGATTTTATTCTGGGTACTCTTGAAACGTGGGGGGTCTCGCGTGTGAGCCTGGTGTGCGGTCAGGAAGCTGACTTGTCAAGCGATGGAGACAATGACCAAGCCTGTATGACAGAAATGAGCCCAAGAAGGCTCAAAAGAAGAAAGATGAGATTCTTGTCGAGCGGAAATGCGATGCCAGATTGGATGGACCACGCAAAAATACTAGATCCAAGACTTGGTCCTACTGTACGCACAAAGGAGCCTCCCATCTGGCCATAGCCATTTACGACTCCAAGCATGCCAGGTTTGGCGCTGTTTGAGACAAGAATCATGACTGCAGTGAAAGTCAAACTGCCTACGAAATAACGTAATCCAAGAAAGATCCAAAGCAAGGGCCATGTCAGATGCTGCCACTCTGGAACTGGGGCAATCCAGTTGGAAATGATGGGGAAGCACATGAAAATGATGGGGTAAAACAGCATCCCATACTTGTAAAGCGTGAGAGAGCTGACGTATCTCATGATCCATGGATAGACAACAATCTGAACAAACAGCAGCACCAAACCCATGGGGGAGAGAGACATTCCGACTTCACGCGGCGAGAATCCAAGACCAGTGCCAATGGGTGAGTTGGCCCAGACTGAATACACTTCGTCAAAACATACAATAATAAAAGCAAGTAGTGAGTAAGCACTGATGGCTTGAATGGCAGGCCACCCAATGCCACCAGTGATTGTTGAAGTACTGGCAACAGTAGAAGGGCTAGATCCAGAGTGAGAAGCATCTCCAAGAAGTGGACTTGCTTCATCTTCAACGTCATCTGTTGATTGACGGACAAGTGGAGCGGTTTCAGGCAAAAACATCAATCCAAACACAAAACCAAAAGTGCTGATCAAGGATGAGACCAAACAAGGCAAAAGAAACGGATTCTGAACGAAAAGGTCCCATTTGCCAAAGATATCTGGCATGGTTTGTGCAGGATTGGCAAGGAATCCACCCATGACTGGACCTAGAATGATGCCAATTGCAAAAGTGAAGCCAAAGAGTGAGAAAGCACTGGCGCGGTTGGTGTCATCTGTGAGTTCCGCCAACATGCTCTTTGCAACTCCGGCATTGCCGTTCAAGAGTCCATTCAAAGACCTCCAAAAGATTGCTTCCACGAGAGACTTTGACATGCCAAAACCAATGATTGAGATTGTGTTGCCAATCAATCCAAACAACAGACAGGGTCTGCGACCAAACCTGTCACTGAGATAACCCCACAGCAGAGATGTGACAAACTGAGACACTGAAAAAGCAGATGCAATGAAGCCGACATAGTATCCAACGTCTTGTTCATGTTCAACCCACTGCTTCACCATAAAGTACACAAACGGAAAGATGATGGTAAAAGAGATGGGTTCACAGATGATGACTATGGCAAGCGTCAGTAGTTTTTTGATTGGAAGCGGAGTCATCTGATGAAGTTTTTCCATCGGATCGATCAATGAGCGTTTTCAAAGTGCTCACAACAGATGAATGGCTCTCGTTTGAAGAGAGTGCAGAGTGGCATGGATCTGCTATTGACCAGAGAGACGGCTTCATCCACCTTTCCACCAACAAACAGGCACCGATTGTCATTTCAAGATACTATGGCAACCATGAGAAATTGGTGATTGTGGAGTTTGATCCACAGCAATTGGGCAATGTCAAGTGGGAACCACCAGCATCCCCAGACAAATCCAAGCAGGCAGAGGAATTGAGAGAGTTTGACAAGAATCAGGAACTGTTTCCACACTTTTATGGACAATTGAAGACTAGTTGGATCGTGAGGAAGATTGTGGTGGAGAGAGCAGATGGATGGGACGTTGCAGACCTTCAAAAGATGCTTGGTTTATAAGTCGAGTGTGGCACTGACTGCAAAGTGGTCGGATGGATAGAGATCTGGCTTTCCATTTGCAGCAGGAACGTGATCTGTAAGAATTTGTGGATCTCTCGTGCCTTGTGCCCACTTTTCAGAGATAAACACATAGTCGATCTTGTTTGTCTGTGCCACACCTGTGAATGCATGGAACGTGCCTTGGTTTGATCCTTTGTGGGCATCCACCATCTGGCAACCAGCAATCGTGCGGACGGCTTGCGAGTTGATATCAGAGTTAAAATCACCAAACAAGATCACTGGGATACCAGAGTTGATCACAGGACGCATTCTGGAACACACCAACTCAGCAGACTTCATACGGCTGTTTTCAGAGGCATTGTCGAGATGAATGTTGAAGACAGAGATTGTCTGACCAGCGAGATCAAGATAGGCTTGTGTGCAGATTCTAGGCAGCGTGTTTCCCCACGATCGGCTGCCTTGGACCTCAGGAGTGTCAGAGAGCCAAAATGTAGTGCTGTTGATGAGGTTGAATCTAGAATCCCAAAAGATGGGAACTCCTTCGCCACCAAGGTTCTTTTCTCTGCCAGTCCAAACGTACTTGAGACCGGTCATCTGGGCAACATCCCTTGCTTGGTAGTCGTTGGCTTCTTGCATCCCCATGAGAGATGGAGGATGCTGCTTGAGGAAATCACCAGCAATGGACTTGCGAGCCGACCATCTGTTGATGCCGTCATTGGCATCTCCAGTGCGGATGTTGAACGTCACAAGAGAGAGACTGACCATTGGAAAGATCTCAGGAACCTGCTCGAAAAACGTGTGATCACAAAACCCTGTGGCGGTCGTGTTGCGGGCCGATTCGTGCCGAGTGCAAAAATGCAAAAAGGCGTGGCTCCAACCGGATTCGAACCGGTGACCCTCAACGTGTAAAGCTGATGTCATAACCACCTAGACCATGGAACCGCCAAGATTCAAATTTTGCAATCCTTTATAATATCAGACTTCAGTCATCCTCATCTACCGGCTTTGCAAAGATGTGTTTCCTTTTTGTGGCTGTTGCTTGAAACTGCGTCTGTTTGGTGGGGATCTGCTTCTTCTTGACACCTGCACTAAACGCGAGCCAATCGTTACGTTTCTGGTTGATCTCCTTTTCCTTCTTGGACAGATTACGTTCCTTCTTTGGCTGGAACTTTTTCTTTTCTTTTTGTTCCTGGATATCACCTACAACCACTTCCTGCGTCGCTTGCTCCACTTGCTCTTTGAGTTTGGATTCCTTGAGTCTGGATCCATCCACCATTCTGATTTCATCGTATCCAGTGAAAGCCACTTCATACTGCTCTCCAACAGACAGCACAATCGCTTCGTAAAAGTTGCCATCGTCCCACTGACACATGCAAGTCTCTCCGACATTAAAAGCCCTCTTGCGAGCTTTGATCACTTGTGGTTTCGATACAGGTTGTGCTTGCTTTGTTTCTGTGACCTGTGACTGCAGCAGCAGCAAGTCCTGTTTGAGCTTCAGGAGCTCTTCGTTGTCAGGGTCTTGTTGCAGTTTGATGTCTATTTGATCAATCTGAAACTGGTACTTGTCAAACTCGACCGACATTGAAAAGTTTCCTGCACGATGCATTCGACTCTTGACAAACTGCAAGAGTACTACCAGCATATCAAGACACTGAAACTGACGATACTGGTCAGTCCAGATATTGATAGCATCTGTGCACTGCGAGTGTTGGTTGCGCTGTTAAAGTCGGACAATGTAGCGCATGAGATAGTACCTGTGCGTGGTTATGAGGACCTCAAAGAAATAGAATTTAACTCGCAGGGAGTTGTATGTATCAATTTGGGTGGAATTGTTGAGATTGGTGCGATGATGCCAGACATACCCGTCTTTGTCATGGACAGTCACAGACCATTGAACTTGGACTCGCTTTACTCGGATCGGTGGGCAAACGTGGTCGTGTTTATGGATCCGGACGAACCTGATCAAGAACATCTCAAAACAGCATTTCAAGAGCTAGAAGTCTTTGATTTGACACTAGTTTGATTCAGAATCAGAGTCTGAAAAAGAAAACGAGGATTCGGACGACGAGCAGGTGTTGTTGTTGATCCAAGGAACCAAAGCGATTGAAAACGTCTCAGAACGAGAGGATTGAGAAGAAAAAGAGGAAGAATGAACGCAAGATCTATCAGAGAGATATTGCAGAGTACTATGCCGATGGTACTTACTATGGACAGCCGATCTGTGGTTACATTTATGAACTTGCCAGTCAAATGTCTAGACATACGAATGATCTGCTCTGGTACACGATTACTTCGATGACAAGCTGCTTCATTCTCGACAGGATGGATCAAGTGCAGTACGAAGGACACATTGTCAAGTGGAAGACAGAAGTGGAGCGTCTGACGATCAAACAAGACCAAAAGAAGACTGCAGATGACTATTCGATCTCGTTTCAAGAAGATTACAGACTGGTCTTGTTCAGACACTGGAATCTGTACGACTCCATGTTCAATTCACCTTATGTCGTTGCTAGAATGGGTTTGTGGAAAGAAAACGGCAGAACAAGATTGACAAATCTGATCGTGAAGCTTGGGTTGATGTATTAACACGAGTCTTGGACAAAAGGATTCCAGACAGCGCTACGATGAGATGGATGTCAAGGCAAAGAAGAACATTCGAGAGAATCTGTTGGAATACGCTGGAAGATACAATCTGGATCATTTGCAGTTGCTGACGTTTGAAAAGAATTATGGATACAAGACCTCATTCCTGGCATCTGATGTTGTCTATGCCCTTCTGGCACTCTTGGACAGCGGTGTCTTGTGGCTTGAAAAGCACGGCATGTCCAGTTACGAAGGCATTGTCGTGGATGAAAACAAGGACGAGAATCAAGTGAGTGACGTTGGTCAGATTGGTTCTGGAGTGGGCACGAGAACGACAACAGCAGAGATTGCCAATCAAGTGCTGGGACTGGTTGGATCTACAGAAGAAGATGCTCGAGAGCAGTGGATCAGAAACTTTTATGTTGCTTACGATGCACTAGAGAACCCATCGATCATCCAGCATGGTATTCTCTTGGGTATCTACTTTCAGCGTCTGATTATCCAAAAGGGCTTGGATGTGCTAGAGAACAAGCAAGTCAAGACACTGAAAAAGTTCAAGCTCTTGATCCTGAATGGACTTGGGTTTGATCAGCTCTCTGGTGAGACTGAATCCAAGCTGTTTTCTCAATCAACTGCACTCTTGCACAGACTTTCTGGATTCCTGATGGATGTATACAAAGTATGATGTCTTATTGCAGGAACACAACCAAAAGAAGATGCCGTTTGTCATTTGTGCCTTAGACCAAGAAACAGACAGGTACTTGGTCATGGGAAGACAAAGACTCTCTTCTGGCATAGAGAAAAAGTATTCAAATTTATCCTAGTCCTTTTGGTCTCGCTTTTATCGAAGCCGCACAGCAACTCGGGATAGACGCGTCTATGGATTCGTTTGATAGTGCAGTTGTTCTAGTTCCATCTGATGACCTGTCTTCATTTTTAGACCATTTGTTGACAAACACAACGATTGACTAAACAAATTCTTTGCCGCTATGTCAACTGTCGTGGTCGTGGAGAAAGATGCAGTCTCTGAGCTGCTGGATCTGGTCGACCCAAAATCACCAGAGTTACTAAAGAAGATGGGTGGTTTAGACGGCTTGGTTCAAAAGCTTCAAACCCACAAAGAAACTGGCTTGCAAGAGACAGAAGAGCAGATGAAGAAGAGGAGAGAGAAATATGGTACCAACAGTCTGCCTGAGCCAGTGTTTGTTCCCTTCTACGTCTTTGTTTGGGAAGCACTCCAAGACAAGACGTTGATTGTTTTGATGATTGCTTGTTTGGTAGAAATGGCTATTGGTATCTACAGAATCACCATCACCAATGATGCAGCAGAGATTATTGATGCTGCTGCTATTGCAGTTGCAGGTTCTCTTGTTAAGACAAGTGGTTATTGTTGTTCTGTTTGGGTCCATCTCTGACTATCGTAAGCAGCTGCAGTTCAGGGCTCTCAATGACTTTGGCCGTTCTATTGATGAAACGCGTGTCATCCGAAACGGTCAGACACAAAACATCCCCACAGCAGATATTGTTGTAGGAGACGTTGTCCTGATTAGTACTGGTGATGTTTTTCCGTCTGACGGTGTCCTTATCAGTGGCTTTGACTTGGAAGTGGATGAATCCACGATGACTGGTGAACCAAAAGCCATCTACAAGGGAGACAAGGACCCCTTCCTGCTCTCTGGTACACGTGTCATGAAAGGTATGGGGCAGATGATTGTCATTGCCACTGGTGTCAACTCCCTCCACGGACGTTCGATGCTTGCTTTGGAAGTGGAGCCAGAAGATACGCCTTTGCAAGTCAAGTTGGGAAGAATTGCTGATTTCATCGCCAAGTATGCCTTCTTTGGTGCCATTGGTCTCGTTGTCCTGCTGTTGATTATTTACTTTGCTGTAACGACGTATCCAGTCACTGACTCTACCAAGATTCCGACTGACATCATCAAGCTCTTTATTATTGCTGTTGCTATTGTTGTGGTTGCTGTTCCAGAAGGCTTGCCGCTTGCTGTCACACTTTCACTTGCTCATGCGACTGTACAGATGCTCAAAGACAACAATCTCGTCAGAAACTTGGCAGCATGTGAAACTATGGGTAATGCCACCACCATTTGCTCAGACAAGACTGGCACGCTGACCATCAACAAGATGACTGTCGTTCGTGGTCAGTTGATGCAGTTTGACTTCCTTTACGAACAAATCAACACGCAGTTGGTTGACAAGATCAAAGAAAGCACAACAGACAATCAAAATGTTGCCAAACAAGCACTTGATCTGATCATGACTTCGTTGAACATCAACTCGAGTGCTGAGGAAACAGTAACCAAATCTGGTGCTATTGAACTGCAAGGATCCAAGACAGAAATTGCGCTTTTGAATTTTACAAAAGCGTTGGGTTATGATTACAAAGTGTCTCGTACAAAAGCCAAGATCTTGAACGTGGCTTCTTTCAGCTCTGAAAGCAAGCGCATGTCAACGATTGCAAAACTAGACCCTATGCCAGAACTAGAAACACAGATGCACGTTGAAAACATTGCAAGTTGGATGTTTGTCAAAGGTGCTTCTGAGATTGTTCTTGGTTCTTGCAGTCACATTCTGAGACCAAACGGTGTCATCGAGACCCTGACACAAACAGAAGCACAAGAAATCCAACGTGTGATCTCAAAGTTTGCTGATTTGGCACTGAGAACGATTTCTTGTGCATTTAAGCCAATCAAAGAAGGAGAGACTGGATTGACTGAAGAAGGCAACCTCAATGACAAGTACGATCTTGTGCTCATGGGTATCTTTGGTATTGAAGACCCTCTGCGTCCAGAAGTGCCTGAAGCTGTAAGACAATGTCAGTCTGCTGGTGTGATTGTGAGAATGGTTACTGGTGACAGTGTTCCAACTGCAAGAGCGATTGCCAAGGGCTGTGGTATCTTGACAGATGGTGTTGTCATGGAAGGACCAGAGTTTAGAAAACTCACTAGAACACAGATGAATGAGATCCTGCCAAAGTTGCAAGTCTTGGCCAGATCTTCTCCATTGGACAAACAGATTCTGGTCAAGAACCTCAAACGATTGGGTGAAACTGTTGCTGTGACTGGTGGTATTGCAATTGATGATAGATGGCACAAACGATGCCCCTGCCTTGACTGCAGCTGATGTTGGTTTCTCTATGGGTATTGCTGGTACTTCTGTGGCAAAAGAAGCGTCTGACATCATCTTGATGGACGACAACTTTGCTTCTCTTGTGAAATCCGTGATTTGGGGCAGATGTGTCTATGATTCGATCCGCAAGTTCTTGCAATTCCAGCTGACTGTCAATGTCAGTGCTGTTGTGATTGCATTTGTGACTGCCTTTTACACGACAGTCAGTGGAAGCA